AAAGACAACTTAAATATTCACATAATAGAGTTTCTTTCCGTCCATCATAACGTATTACCTAATCTAACGCATTAGACAAAGCTTCTATCTCCGGTGACCAGGGGGAACAATGAAATAGTTGCCATACATTACACGTGAGCAAAGAACAATAGCTATTAAAGTGTTTACAGAAAGCGCCTTAATAGCTGGTAGCCATGTAATGAAACCTTGGGAAATAGCATCCATCAGGAGAGACGTTAAGACATTATAGACCTGTGTATACCTTCACTAACAGTATTTAAACGCTGCACTAACATGTAAGAAAGGCGTGAAACAACCACAGCGTCGTATTTCGCCATGTGGTGAATGAGGTTACCTAATTCTTCCCCACCCAATCCGTCCCCAACATCTTCTAAACCCCGAAAAATCTTTATCCTCAAAAGGCCAGTTATGTATTAACTACTTCTCTAGTATTACTGGTGACTAAGACGGCGCCGATCGCTTACTATGAGATAATTCTTCCAATCGTATCACATAAAAAAGAGAGAAAACGTACATACATAAATTTATTTGAAAAAGAATCACCATATGTATTCTCCTTGATGGCATGGGGCAAGAGAGAGTAACAGACTCTTACTGGCTAAAAATGATCCCATTTCTTTACCTGACCCGTAACGAAACCGCGGATTATTTGCTTGCATTCGTAACACCGACTGGACATGGGTCTTAGTGGGTCCCTTGTGTGTTTGTCTATGATCTCTCTTTGAGACGGGTACCGAACGTGACCCGCTTTAGGCAGCTATCTACTTACAATCTATTTACACCGTCTGTTTGGTAATAAGGAAATATCTGACTAAATTTTCATCAATTAATTTTCTAATACATATATTCCACTGACGAATAGATCAGAGCAAATATTAAAAAAAAAACATTTTTCATAAACTCAGAATTTTAATTAAACTAATCTGCAAAGTATTGCATTTTAGAAAATATTAAAACCTAATAAAGTTATCGTGTTCTCATGAAAGCAGAAGGTAGCTTTCACCTCGGATTTTTAATTAAGTAAAAGTGCCGTAAGACAAAGTTTAGCGTAATTTAATAATGAAGGAATGGACGCCCTGAGTTTTGAGCTCAAAAGTTAACTAACTACTTAACATAGATACGTACTCACAGACAATGTTACTTTAATATAAAGAATTTTCATAAAACCAAAAGTGAGAACCGCTACAAACGTACCAACTCAATTGAGTTTCCGAAATCAAGAATTCCTTTTATGTACTTCAAAAGTCATTTCGGATTAACAAACGTGGTACGATAATTTTAAAAGCTCAGAACTCGCTAATCGGCTTTTGTGTTTGTAGAAACATAATTTGTCTTATAAACTGCAAGATTTGAATTTCTAAGTTTGTTTCTTGCTCACAGCAAGACTACTTAAAATGTTAAAGTTGTGTAAACCGTCATTATAACAACGAGGCAGTATTTTGAGCAAAATTATTGCGTAAAAATTATTCCAAGTATCTTCGATATTAAATAGAACAAAAGCTAGAACTGTACCTTGGGGAACTTATAGACCAGCCATTATAGTACAGCTTCCATTGTGCGATATAAAGGGTAGCAATTGAAAAAGTTTCAATAATTGCGCGCTACGTACATCGCGCAGTTCCGTTATCCCGGGTGAATTGGAACGTGCGCCTCTCCACGGATTGCATACAGGCTCAAATGAACGCGTCGTTTATATACGAACCGCGTTCGCAAATATGTACGCCCAGCACACGGCCCAATTCATTTCCAATAAAGTTTACGCTATCTATCTGGCATAATGTGAACGAAAACTACGTAGTAATTATACCAACATACTTATACAATACCAACTCAAGTTTCAACGCGATTAGATATCTAAGTATCTTTCTAATTATTAAAGTAAACCTCTAACCCTTGTCTTAACAATTAAATAAGTGGTTAAGTAGTATGGTTAATCTTCCTTAAATATAAGCTGAGTTCAGCTCGAAATCATGGCTGGCTCTCAAAGTAAAGCCAGACTAAATCGCATAAGAAGCCTTCAAAGCGGGCAGAACACAATAACAGCTAATACCGAAAACTTTGTACATTATAATGTAGCCTAATACTCGGTCAGGTAACCGCTGAGCCACGCTCAATGGAAGTCAAAGTTGTATCTACAAGATTTTGTTTCTCTTTGAAGTTACATTTGACCTTTAAATCCTTTGAAATAGGAAATTATTTTAGGTATAGCTACGTGTCTACGGACGATGCGGGGCGTATGAAATCGAATTCAACATTGTGATGAAGGTCGCCCTCTGACATTCGTGTATACAGACTCGTGGAAGAATTTATTTGTGATCGAATTGTCCTGTGACTTGTATCGGTTGTATCAATGAATCACTTTGATTGCTTTACGTATGCTTCATTCAACAATGTTTGTTATACAGTAGGGACAATTTACAGATTTTAGAAAAGAAGGTACTTATATATATTATGTCAAAAAATGCCCAACAAAAATCTTGCAAATTTAATAGTTATCAACCACGGACCCAAAATGTTATAAAAAATAAGGTACAATAGACAGTAAGCTACTAAACATAGTCATACAGATTAGCTATACGTTAAATTGGATGTGAATAAGCGTCTAACGTTCGGTGGGTCGCAGCTGAATTAATTACCCACTCTATACTGAAACTGTTTGCCGTGACAAGCGACACGTGATCGTTGGCTCCCTTGTAGTTCACCATCAGCATTAATCATGCTTACACTGTCAGGCCCTTCAACAAAGAACACCAGTTACAAAATAAAAGAAAAATAGGAAAATGATTTTATAATTTTAATTAGGCATTTGAATTAGGAACACATTTTGAAAACGTTATAAAATTTAAATTTAAATAACGAATAAAATATAAAATGCTTTGTTTTTTTATTAAGGTAAAATTAAAAAAATGTTTGGATACTAAAGTCGGATGAAGGCATGTTCTTAAAATTTTATTATTTAAATGTTTTTTATTTTTATTTTTGCTGAAACCGAAATAGCGAGCCAAGTGCCAACTTACTTCCATAAACACGAAAGACGCAGTCCTAAAAACTATAACAGTTTCAAGAAAGTGCCTTGGGCCATAACCTAAAAAAATTTGATACGAAACCTCTTTGAAAAAAACCTTCTTTCAAGTTAATTAGGATAATCTGTATGCATTCCCGCGCTCAAATAAAGGGAATCGTTTACCACTATCTTCGTTAAGTGATAAAGCAATCAATTTGCGAACAGCATTAAATCGAGACAACGGAATCCATTACTGTGAACCCGTGAGCGAACAAAATTGAAATAATGGAAGCACCTTGATTCTAATGCCTCATTATTTCACCATTACTAAGGTAATTACTGCTATACGGTAACGACAGAGCAGAATGCGTTTTTCACCATCTCTGCTCTTCTTGCGGGTATGATAAAAATCTACTATGGGACTTCATATTAATAGGGACTGGTTAACAACTCTGATAAAGCTGTTTCTTTTACATTTATTCGTCCAACGCGCTTGCGATGCCTAAATGTTGGTGATTTTTTCAATGGTGTCGGTCGGTAAATTATTTTACGGGTCACCAGATGAAAAACAGCAAAACGCAGGCCATGGATACCCGAACACTAAAGGAGTTACAAATGCAATTCCAGCCCGTTATTAGAGATTAGGATTCGCGATTCGGATATTTGAGAGAAATCGGATGGGAGAGAAAGTTTGGTCCTACGGAATGTTACTCACTGATATTCTCTGAAATCGTGTTATCGCTCCGGTTGAGCTAGCCCATTGGTGCCGAGGCATAGATATCTAACACCAGAATACTATGGCGTATTATGACAAAACCTTATTTTGTAAAGGAGTTCAATAGCGAACTCTTACAGGCTGTTAATGTAAGGTAATTACGAACCTTTTATTTCTTAACGTAGGTATAGTATAGAGCTATACAAACGCCGCCGTACATAGGCCCGTCCACAATGTGTTTGCATCCAACTTGTACATATTTACTGAAGGGAAATACATTACGACTCGCGCGGGAATTATGTGGTGGTGCCCTAAATACGAGACCGCTTTGTTAGAAGTAATCAAACGCTTTTTAGAAACAAATATAATTATCTCTATGTATTGAATTTGGAAATCGTGTATCATAATTTCATATCTTTCGTTCCCAAAGGGCAGGCGAGTACGCCATATTTTATGTTAAATAATTTTTAATTCTATAACTAAGAAATCGATTCCTTTAATTCACCTACTATGCCATAGGAGGTAAAATAAAATAAAATAAATTTATTTTAAACGGCATTCATTTTCAATCAGTTAAGTTTGTCTCACGATAGTAGTTATCATACAGAAAAATAAACCTCGTTTGTAATGGGGGAACTGAAAGAAATGAGGAAAATAACACGAAGAAAGCATGTTATAAAGGAAATTAATAAAAGAATGAATTAAATCGCAAACACAAACCTTTTCTTCATAACGTTACTTTAAATCTACGGACTTATTGCTATAAATTCTCCATTTTCTATCTATTCCCATTTCCCTTGCCACAAATGTGCTGCTAATACGTACTTTATACGTCTTCTTCCGTTTCCCGGTAGCTATACATATAGCTATATGCCATCTGCAGCGTCAACAAAACATAGAAACCTAATAAATACCGACATTGTGCTGCTACTCAACATCGGCACAGGTTGCTCGCACTTGTTATTATAATTTAATTTCATTTTCTGTAATACAATTCTGTTCGCGGTCGACGTTGTTATAATAATATATTAAAGTTCATTTTGCAATACACGTGGTAAACGTATGAGTTATATCAACGTACGTACCTACATGTTAGCAATATTAAAAAAGCTTCCATTTTATTCTAAAAATTTTTAAATCGTTTCACCTTTATTCATACCATCGATGATAGATGTATTCTACATTAGGTATTGAACTTTGACTTTATAGTCTCTAAGTTTAAATTACATTAATTTTCTAATTCTTACCTTTTATTTACAGGAGAAACCGACGAACATGGCTTGCCAACGGAGAAGGATAAATCGTGTGACACCAACCTGTACTTGTATCATGTAAGTTTATCTTGCTACACCTGTTCACTAAAGTTATATAAAACCTTTTTAACAACGACATCACGGTACAGAGCGCTGAAGGTAACTTAGAGAGGCTTATCCCAACTTCACTGAGCATTAAACATTGAAGGACTTTCATTATTCAATGTCTAGTGTCTTTCTACGCGAACTTTTAAGTGCACGTCTTGCAAACTTGGTGTGCGTCAACAAGGTTCTTTTCTTTTCTGTGTCGATTTATGTAGACTTAGAGCACTTGACTTAGTCTAAAATAAAAATAATTTTACAGAATCAAACATTTTACTTATTTTAAAAGATAATGTAAAATATTCAATTTAATTTATCGTTTTTTTTTCACGACATAAATATGGTATTAGACCTAAAAAATAAGACATCACAATAACCGTACTAAAATCATAGAAGTTATAATATTGTAATTAATTATTCGAAAAAGAATTGAATTGGACTTTTTGTCAAGTCAACAAAGCACATAGTTTTTTTCAATTTAGAATATAATGTCACTGTATAATTTGGCTCGCGTCCACCAAATAGGTTGCACTCATAGGCTTAACGTCTTTGTAACCTTTACTTTATTAGAGACAAAATAGAAGTTACCTTTTCAAAGCCTATCCTTTGGCCTTTTCCCAAAATAGATTAAGCTTGACAATACTAACCAGATTCACTAGATTTCAATATTCTCAGACCTGAGTTTAACGGCCAACCGTAATATTCCAAGACAATTTGAGCGAACGACCTTACGTGTTCCGCAAAGCTCGGAGGAGTTAGGAATAGTTTCAAACCAAGATAGCTTCAACATCTCCACATATTTGAATTACATAAAAACCATTTTTATTTTAATTAACGAAAAATAACAGTACGAATACCAGCAACGAGTAGGCTGCGCGACGTTGTCGCGTCCGCGCACGATACTCATGAGGAAGAACCCCTCTGTGGTTCGAAACTAGTAGAGCTTTTCTCAATTTATACACGTGAGTAACCCGCGATTTTTAGAAAAATAACAAGTTATTATTGTAAAAATAACAAAAATATACTACTGATAGAAAGCGCTAAAGCAGTTGATAAGCGAAGCTGACTAGAAGACGGCCATCTTTCCAATCAAGTCAAAGTGAAAAATATATATTCTAACTACACCATATACATACAATACTTTTAAAACGTCAAGATAGGATGCACATAAACAGAACCAACTGATGGGCCTGTCTTACTGTATACATTTATAATAATATAGTAAATTATACTCTTAATAAGGGAGATTAGACTTCCCAAAAGCCTGTGCTCATAGTGATCTGAAGACAAGGATGACAACTGTTCATTATTCAGGAGGAGGCTGGACAGCGGCATTACGTAACAATGGAGTTTACGTATGCTGTAATCCAGAGGTTCAGAGCCTCCGCTTAGTGAGACTAAATCAATTAACTATGTATTATGTTCGGTGTCCAACTTGTTTTCATTATTTTGGGAACTGTAATTTGCATTTTTTTTTCTTATAACACTTTGAAGGTTTAAAGAAGTGTCGCCTCTTCCTTTTATCCCCTTCACCAAAAAATAAATAAATTGGTGGAATTCTTAGTAAATAATGTTACACAGTTTAATTGCACAATAATATTTAAGTTTAGTTACGAAGTTAAAAAGAAATTAACTAAATTAAATTGAGTTGACAAAAAAAAATTGTTACAGGTGGTCTTTATTTATAACTTATTTAAAATTGACAATAATATTAAAACTATTTTTTGTCGATAAAAACATGGTATTCTTACTAAGGTGACTCATTTAAATGTTTACTCAGACAGCACTTTCGAGAGTGTCGTAAAAGTCCTGAGAAAGTTATGGCCTCAGTTTGTAGGGGAGAATTTATTTTATACACTATACAAACTCCACTGAATTTGAATGTTTCGGCCTACCCAAGTTTTACTAGTTGCCCGACCTCTTATCTCTTTGAAGGACGCCCATTCGTATTTATGCTGATGTTTAATAAGCTTAATGTGCTGTGTTAACCTACGCCTATTTATGTACACACATACATATACACTCCAGATACAAATTGCCCTCATTTTCTTAAATACCGTACGGTTTTCTTTACGCAATAAGCGCCTAATAAAATCTACCTGCCTCCCGCACTACAGTGTTGTTAACGTTTTATCTCAAAGTTTTCATCACGAAAGATAATACCTAATAATTAATTCATTTAATCTTCTCCACCAACGCCGTCCCGACGGGTACGTCAGGATTAAAAAATCATATCACATTACGTGTTGTTTCGTTTTGGTTAGCCGCTCACACTAATTACCCTTGACCCAACATGCTCTAATGCACGTTTCATAGTAATCGAATTAACCCTCTCCAATATTAATTTCCAATACCCAGGCATAAATTATTTAAAATAACATTTACGCCAGCCGTTTTAAGACCCTGGCTGGAGGAAACGGAATAAATTGAGCGCCTTATTGAAATTGAGTTTGGAACGTATTACCCGTTGCTACGAGTACGCGAACGTATATACTTGTGATTTCGATGACCCGTATAGATCGTAGCGTTCTCGTAGCGCTCGTAGCTAGTTCGTAGCTCGTTACATGGCGGTCGTAGCACTTCAATCTCTTACGCTATTGGCTCGAGTTACCCGCTTCATTCGTTACAATTTTTGATGCAGTTTCAAAATTGAAAAGTGTTAACTTTAATTAACAGATGATACATTTGCATATTTTACATTAATTAGGATTTTAAGGCGATCCTTAATTAAATTAGCTTGAAATTTTTCTTACGTGTAAAAATACGTTACAATAAAGTGTTCGCCTTAAAAAAGCATACACATCTCCGAAAAATGGAACGGGAATAAAAACATTTGTATTCCGCAATACAATAAAGATGCTTATTTCCATAAAACGCGAAAGTAGGTAACTTCACGTGATGAAAATAATCCTTAATAAAAAAAACTCTTTAGTATATAAAGGCGAGGCCACACCTGCGGTGCGCCGGTAGGCTGGAATAATCCAGGAGCGCAATCTCGTATATAATTCACGCACCATTTGCGAGCCGCGTGACTTCCACCCCTATTACGTGTAGTGATGGCAAGGGAAAGATGGCAATAGAATTTTTATTGCAAGTTGGGCATAGTTTCATGACATCCAATGTACCTATCGATGTGACATAAATAGAAAGTTAAAGCTCAGTTGTTTAAATAAAACAACTGAGCTATAGCTGATAACAGATATAAGCGATACATATCATTCTGGATGTTATGTCCAATTTATAAAAAGAAATGCATAACATATTAAATGAGTGTGATTTTAAACAGCGCTGATAAAAACACCGTGCGCAAACCTTAACATTATAATTTTTAATTATAAGTTTGAAATCGCCAATCCGCCTTAATCAAGTGTGGTGATTAATGCTAACACCTTATTCATGTCAGAGCCTTTGTTCACCAGTAAGCCCTTATATACTAGTGATGAGATATACATAGACACATATGTTTAAAAAAAAACACGTGTATGACTACGTCGTTGATTGAGCGGTTGCAAGTGTCTAAACTAAACATACGACATTGTCGAGGCGTGTAAAGTACATACTATAGGTATAATAGAGGATGTTCTTTTTTATAAATTTATAGTAGCGTGGAGTCAGAAATAGTGCAGAGTATGCGGCAAAAGCCCCATCCTCTATTATAGGGAATTTATAACATAACTATTTAAAAGTGTTTACATTTTATTTTTATGTGGAGTTTTGTACTATTATGTACTTACCTTAGGAAATAAAAAAGTCGTGACGGTAGAAGAAAAACGTTGGTTATGGTTATGAGGAATGTTTTGGCACAAATGCGTCGGCTCGAACGCATTGATGCCACGGCCTCACAGAAAATCGGCGTGAAATTAATAACCGCAGCGTTGTTTTTCGCCATGCGATTCGTAAAAGGTCGACAACGCACTTGTAACTTCTCCGTTGTAGCGGGTGTGTATAGGCGGCGCTGATTGCTTATTATCAGATAACCAGGAAGTTCCTTTTTCGTCCTATAGATATCTAGGTACGTATACCTGTACACAATTATTAATGTACTCAAATAGCATAATGTACTAATTACTGCATAATTATTAGAATTATCTCTCAAAGCAAAATTATGTTGTAATTGATTGGTTCTCGTTTATCGTGCAACGGTAATTACCTTCCAGGCCTCCGAATATAATTAACATGACTATCGTCTCATTTTGCAGATTCAGTAGAATTTATTATCACACAATTAATTATAGTATTATTTATTCGATCACAATGAAAAAATAAATGATAACTACGTTAGCCCATTAAATATTTTCTCAATTTCTGTAAACAATTCAGAACCGAATTAGCAAAATTGATTCAAATTTTATAATTTCTCTGTAACGTGCTAGAACTAAATTCGTTTATTAAATGACCTAGGATAGGTACTCCAACCACCTATTTTTTAAATGTTGGTGTCGTACAATGTCAGATACAGATATATATAAAACAACCTTTAGAAAATGGTAAGAAGAAAATTCGGGAGGTTCGCTAATAAAGCTTGCACCTATAGCCGTCGGATATTGGCGAGGCCGGCCTCGTTGTCTAAGCGGCACTAAGCACCCTACAGCCGAGGCCGCCCTCAGCACAAGGCCACCGAATGCTCCCAAATCAATGTGAGAGCTTCAATAACGTCTCCACTGAGGTTAAGAGCCATACTTCCACAAGCTGCCTTGTCGTAATTTTGTTTGATTTTTTATTATTATGGTGTAGCCGAGCCGTGATGATACTCTTCACTATTGAAGAGGCACTTTCTCCACTTTGGTCATAAAAGTATCTTCTTGTCATTCTGTACAAAATTTAGATTGAGGTAGGCGACAGAATAACCTAGAAATGTTATGTACGCGACAGTTTGGGTGGGTGTTTGTTACTCTTTGAAATAAAAACTACTGAAAGGATGTGAAAGAAATTTGTCATATAGATTATCTCTTGTTAATCTGGAAACACGTAGGTGACTGGTCTCTGGTTCTTGCGGTTGAAGCCGCTGAATGCCACAATATTTCTTTTTCTTTTGAAAATAGAGATATGAAACGGTGACAAGGAATATTTGCCATACACATGTGTGTACTTTTCGAACAGCGATAATAATCGTAGGAGAATTTCAAAGAGCCCTCAGTAAAGCTTATTCTAAAATGGCATTGCTCGCTTTGTTCATGGCACAAAATCTAGAATTAAATGGCTCTATAAAGTTCTAGGCAATGATCTGTAAACCTATAACAACTTAAGCTGTGTTTAACGGTTGTTAAATCTGATATTGTCATTTCTAGCTGTACCTAACTTGAATTGGTATCGTTCCAGTTTATGTAACGAGACTCAGCAAACTTCTTGGGGTATACGATAGTACCTACATTAATATAAAGAATCGTTCTTGTAGGCTTTATGTAAAACAGATTTGTTATCTACATTAATATTATAAAGAGGTATGTAGGGTTATCTTTAGAAGCGCTGGTCAGATTTCTAAAACCCTTTTACTGATAACTGCGATGTTCCTGAGTGCTTTAAGTTATACCTGATTTATGGATTTTAGTCGTCGGGCGGAAGCTATTCGTTCATTTTTTCAATAATTTAGAAATCTTTTGCCATCAAACCCTCAAGAACAATATACCTAATACACTAAATACAATCCATTTTTACATTCAGAATATTTACGAGACAATGTAAATCCTACTGGATACAAAGGTACGGCAAACACCGCCATTTTCTTTGCCATGTAAATAAATAACAGGATAAGAGTTACGTCTGATTCTAGCGCATTGGTCACATTTACAAAGAAATATTACCCGAATGTTTTTTTCTTATTATCGGAGCCCTTTATGTATGTATTGACTAACATTTCATTTTAAATTGACTTTGTAAACTTATTTGAAAGGCAGAACTGTCGCTTGTGATTAATTAAATAACGTAACGAAATACAAAAGGTTGAACAGAAGCGAGTGAATGAGCGTCATCGTCGATGAACGTTAATATTATGACAAGGGCTATGCTCTCGAGCTGACTTCGTAAAACCTCACAATCTACTGTGGATGAACAAAGAACTTCATTACGCTTGCGATTCCAACGGAGAGCCACCCGGATACCAAATAAAGTGCCGAATAATGGCGACGGAACAAATGAAAACAAATAGGAAAAGAGCGGGCCTGATAAATTGCTTGTGTTGTGTGCCTTTATTTTATTGCCCAACATTATTTACAACACGACGTTTAGGGTCATCATTGGTATTTAAAAGATTTGCTCCCTGCGTTGTTCTTTCAGAGGATAATTGATTACAGAGATTACTAAAAATGCGAATAAACAGTAGTTTATTAAGTTTACAGTCGATCGTTATTCTCACGAAATGTATAGTGTATACTGTAAATATCTACCTACATAACCTACATGCAAGTTTATAGTGTTCAAAAGAGAATCGCAAAACATGCAATAACAAACACGTAGTAAAGGTGTAAATTTAAACGCAAACAACGTAATCCTGCATCCGTGGAACATATCCGAAATCCATTTCAAATAAACTCGGGTGATTCATACTTTAGGGAGTGTGTGCTATGGAAATTCTGATTTGCTCGTATCTACCTACATTTTAGAGGAGCTGCGAGCACATTCCGCGCAAGTGACGGTAACGCCCTAGGTATGTTAGGAACAACGATACCGGCAAGCGGCGCGCATCGATACGATGCTAATGGCGCGTAAATAAAATACGAGATTCAGGAGACGAACGCGCTGACTCGAGTTTCACAAACTCGGCATCCGAGACTCGACTCCAACACCCCACTCTAAAAACTATATCCCATTACACATGTGAAATTAAAAACCAGGCTGTACATAACAATTTTATTCCCATCCCATACGAATATCGCGAGCACTTTCAACTTTTATGTAGCTCTAATGAATTTTACACTCGCGCAATAAATGGAAACAAAAGCATTCCAGTTTAGTCGTAATATTAAAAAATATCCGGTCTGAATTTTTTGATCGTTGTTGTAAACAGAATTTAATATTTCTTGTGCCATTGAATAACATATTAAATATTTACATTCGCTTTCGATTACATTATATGGATATCAAGACCCAAAAAGCTCTTAAGTGTAAGAGAGCCATGCTGTGGCACGAATAGACTGGATCTACCGAAGTGATACCACGGCCTCACAGTAAACTGGCGTGAAACTACTAAAGTGTTGTGTTTCGCCGCGTTAACTCACACCCCCAAAGCACTTGCAATCCATGTTGCGGATAGCAATATGGACAGCGCCAATTGCTTAACATCAAGTTAATTTACTCGTTCTTTTTTCACATAAAGAAAAATTTCTTCGCATATGCTATTATAATGACAACGTGGTTTTGAATTGGTAAATGTTACAACAAATACATTTACAAAAGACTCATCATAATATTGATACATATCATAACAGAATTAACAAAGAACAAACAACTAAAAAAAACAATTAAAAGACAATTCTAACTTTATCAGAACCGCTTTCAAGATAGCGATAGCAGGATAGGCGCGTGTCAGACGATGATTACATAACCCCCAGTTAGGCAAACTGCGCAGACTTACCCGTGGGGATTTACAGCCTTATTTTTTCGTATGAAGTTAAACATATTTCAAGACTCCTACGTGATTTGGATACATATTCGGTACTAGGTGTCTCGTATACCGACGATAATGTTAGAGAGAATACGAAATCCAATGTCTTGCCATTATTATGTACAAGATAATGTAAAGTTGTATTCATATTTTACATACATTCTCCTTGCTTATATAAGTAGTAAATAGCTTTAGAACATAAGTGTGACAATATACTAAAACTACATAATTTTGAACGTTAATATGCAGAGGGAAACAAGACTAACATAGTTAATTACATATGTATTTGTTTTAAAGTCGTAAACGTGGCTTATACTGGACTTAATTTAAGTTTATTACCCCTAAAAAGGTTTTTATAACCTTAACTACAGGTAGCGCATTTAGTTTTATTGTTAAAAATGAGTATTCACATTTATATAAGTTTTCAAGGTTTGGACCGAATTTAATAATTCAAAAATACATTGACATGTTGACCAATCTCACAGACGATATTATCTGAGTTAGCTTATGATAGTAACCGTTTCCAAGCTCTAAAATTTCCTAATTGAAGCCAATATTTAATAAAAACTACTTAGTACTTTTTTACAGTTTTACTTACAAATTTTCACTCACTATTGTCTATTTTTTGCCAACAGGAAGAGTTGGAGGACAGGCCTCGAGCGGCGACGTTCCTCAGCTCGCTGGCGAACTACTCCAACACGATCCCGACGGCATCAGCCGCGGACCCTGACGTCAAACCGGCTCCACCAGCTCGTATGGGCACGCTCATCGGTGTCTACCTCCCCTGCATCCAAAACATTTTCGGTGTCATCCTCTTCATCCGTCTCACGTGGGTCGTTGGAACTGCTGGTGCTATTCAAGGATTTCTGATTGTTCTCGTTTGCTGCTGTACGGTAAGTTTTACTTTTTAAGTATTTTAAATATGTTTTTAAATGCAAGGTGTCTAACTACTACAACAATAATGCCGAAGTGTAAATACCAGTCGAAAATAAACCGTAGAACGTTAAGAAAAACTAAAGATAACCATAACTAGTATACCTACGTCTCCAAAAATACTTAGGTACACTAAGTACTTCATGATTTGTGAAATTTTCCAACTACCATTAATCTCCCTTGAATACTGCTAAGGATCCATATTTTCCCCGAGAACTGTCAGCCTACGTCTCTTCGAACTTGTTTTATTATTACCAAGATGACGCATTACAAATTCTTTAAACGTATATTTCATTTTAATATCTCTCACCTAGCTACAAGCTGTAAATTTTCTCTGAGGTTCGCAGAATAGAGATTCAAATCAACCCTACTGTAAATAATTACGTAATAATAAACATCTATTTATATTTCGCTCGTATTTTAAGTAAATAACAACACAATACATAATATAATCAGCGCTACCCGAACAAGACCGTGGTTGAGGTACCTATTTTGAATAAAATTACCTACGCATGGAGCTATTCATATTCGTCGGAGCAGGGGGGCGATGACGCACGAACCACAACGACCATAATATACTTCTGTGTCAAAATAGAGTGGGAACAAAAACAATTGCTCGTTCGTACTTATCGCTGTACCTGCCACGAAACAAAAATACGAGAGAATGAAAATAACTCATCGTCCGCATTGTACTCGTATTCCCAGCATATTTGCTTCTGATTACGTTATTGTTGCGTAGAATTTCCCCCGGGTCTGTCCGAGTTTCGTGCCTAAAGCTACAGTACTGCCGCGTCTAATAATGGTCGATCCTTGAACTTATCTAATTTAAGTTGCCGACGGTTTATTAAATCTTCTAGACGCAAACTGGATTATTTTGCCTGTCTGACTAGATTATTATTTGTTGCCAATACTAAATTTGTTTGATAAAATCTAAACTAACTGCGACTATTGGATAGAGCGTCTGACCTTTATTGTGACTTTTATGTTATGAGTCGTTGTCCAGTCCCTTGGCAACCCTCTTCTCTTTATTTTATATATTAGATAATATGGCAAAGGTTACATGTTGTGTCTGAAATGTTAAAAAAGGTTTGTGTCTTGGGACAATCCGAGAGTTAGGTGGTTTGTACAATGTGAAGAAAATTGTTTTGAATGTGTTAGTAGTTTAAGAAAACTCATAAAAGAATACCTTCACTAATATTTATGTTCTTTTTTGTTTGCACAGACAATGTTAACTGCTATCTCGATGTCTGCGATTGCGACGAATGGCGTGGTGCCGGCGGGCGGGTCGTACTTCATGATAGGGCGCTCGCTGGGCCCGGAGTGCGGCGGCGCGGTCGGCATGTTGTTCTACACAGGCACCACGCTCGCAGCCGCCATGTATATCGTCGGAGCTGTTGAAATTGTTCTGGTGAGTGCCTTACATGAGTTGAAACCATTTCTTCGACGAAAAAGACATCTTCTCTAAAAGCTGCACATAATTTCTATCCACGTACCGCATCGCCTAATTTCAATGTTACCTCAGTTGAAATCATAAGCAACGCTTAACTTTTAAACAGAACGCTGTGGTTGTTTCGCGCCGTTTTCTGTGAGGCCGTGGCATCACTCCGGTCGAGCTGACCCATTCGTGCCGAAGCTTGGCTCTCTTATTATACTTAAAGGTTTATGAAGTTTTTTATTCACCCGTGGTTGCGGGGCAATTAGGCACCGCGACCTCGGCCTGAAGCAGGAGAAGGAACGGGGTGGTGTTTAGTTAGCAAGAGTTTGACGCTCCCTATCACCTCAACCCTTGCGAGAGAAGCCATTTGTAGATTCCACCCTCAAAAAAAAGACTGTCAACCGTGAATGAGCTGGTGTTTTGAAAAATATAAGTACTACATTACAAATAATGTAAGTGCCAGCAGCCGACCAGTCGCGAATCCTTTATATTTCACTAATATTACGTGTTTAAAATATTTAAATTCGATCGATTCGACCGTAATACGAATACAATTGACTTATATGTATTACCTATTATACTTGTTTAAACATATAAGGTCTATATTCGTAACATCTCCAACAGACAGTTCAGTAGGGTTGTTCGTCACTTGGGTCTCTAGGGCTCAAGTCTGACACCAAGCTGCGGTCGACCCGCCATTTACAGCCAACCCTACTACCAGTACCAGTAATTTGGAACATGAGAACTTTGCAGATCCATCTTGCTAGTAATTTTAATGCTTAGATTCTTGTTTAAATTTTGACAGCTTCATACAATACAGACCTTTATGATATGACCTAGATTCCTGTCAGAAAATGTAGGTGGAAATTTCACGTTAAATAAGAGCAATTTTACAATGCAAGTGTAGCTGATCTATATTATGTGGATCAGATTATCTTAATGTATGTTAAGAAATAACTTATTGAAAAACGAAACTATTGGTAGGCTAGGGTTAAAAGAAAAAGTAAATTAGACCGGTTTATTTTAGATATACACATTATCAGCCTCTCATCAATTTTTACACGGAGCATCAATCATAACGCTTGCTCAAGGCGTATTATCGATTTCAATCTTATAATTAGAGATCATAGGGCCGAGTTTCCTTATAATGTTTTCATTACTGTTTGTCAGTGGTGTATAAATAGTTAGACAGTAGACAGAACTTGGAAGCAGTAAAATTAGTACTTGGCTGGTTTCGTTTACAGCCAATGTCCATAGCCCGAATCCTCAAATCCGTAAAAACTCACATAAGGCCGGCAACGCATTTGTTTGGTGTTGCGTGTATCATGAAATTGCTTATATTATCAGGTGATCCGACAGCTCATTTGCCAAATTATGCCATAAAACAAAATAAAATAAAAACATATACAACCTACCTCTACCTACACTATAAATTGGTACATATACCTAATAAAGAACAGAAATATTTCTGCTTTCCTAAAAATAAAGAAAGATGATATTAGATAGCTAATTACAGCTGGCTGTTGTTAGGCAATTTCGTAAATAGAACACGGCTGTTTATTATCTCATGTTTTACCTTCTCACATTACCATAAGAGAGTAATTATTACGAGATGTTTATTAATAGAAAAAAGTGGGTCTTTATTGTTACTAACTGAATGTAATTTTCCATCATTACCACGTCTATCTGCCTTGCTTTGCCTTGCTTGTGAATTGGTTTAAAACGCAACGGTCTAAAGCGAAGTTTACCGACTGTCCAATCACCGAGTTGATCAAAGCTCTATCGAGTTTTTCTAAATGAAATTTTACAGGCAGATAAAAGTATAGTCTGACCATTTTTTTTTTTGCGGGTGGTTCATCAAATGCCTTCTCTCCTAGGTATAGCGAAATTTCAATAAAACTTAACAAAATAACTTAAAAAGTATCGTATCAAAAATACACAAAATAATTAAGGTGCTCATGTATTTTTCTGAATTTCCACGATCAAAGGTTTTAAATTATTTTGTATCATAATAGTATGTAGATTATCTGCATATCAAGCCGTCCGGCGATGTATTATACAAAGTTAATATTCATCAGACCACTAATTACTCTTTTGAATGATTAAGCGCATGGTTTGCATTCTGCTTGCGGTTAATAACACGCATGAATACGCCAATGGGAGCCCGAGAGCTCTAACCATAATTTATGATGAAAGCTCACTTTGATAGCATAAATAATAGACCTAAATCCATGTATTCATTTACAGACGTGGTATTTCAAAGGAGTTTCTCGTTAATTTTCTTTGTAATAAAGCATATTTTGAACAGCTCTTGACTAATGAAGATAATGTATATGTTGTAGAGGACCAGCTTTATTACCATTCAACTAACGGCCTGAATGTGTAACCTTCTAATTAAATAACCTTTATCATTCCGGCTCTAAGTTAAAAGGTGTAGGCGATAAAAAACATTATTAATAAATAATATAATAATTGTGTTCACAAACTTTTGTAATGCAAATTCTAAATAAGTGCGGATAGAAAATAAAATGACAAGACAAAAGTACTACGCAGTGTACCTAGCCTTACCTGCATCTTGAATGCGACAAACAATATATTTTTTATATTCTAACCTATCAACACGCGACAAGACTACATAATCCCCATCTCCTTGACAGACGTACATGGCGCCGTGGATGTCGATCTTCGGGGACTTCACTAAGGATCCTGAAGCGATGTACAACAACTTCCGAGTTTACGGCACCGGGTTGCTATTAATCATGGGCATGGTCGTGTTTGTCGGCGTCAAATTTGTCAACAAGTTCGCGACCGTCGCCCTTGCCTGTGTGATCCTCTCCATCACTGCTGTCTACGTCGGAATCTTTGTCAACTTCAACGGAAACGATAAGCTGCAGTGAGTATTTGTGCTAAATTATTTTAAAAATAATGACTTGATTTCGTGTAGTAGTAATTGAGAAAAGCTCTACTAGTTTCAAGTCAGAACGGGACTCTTATTCATGCGTCGCGACGTTCGACGTGCCGACAAGTAGAGCTTTTCTCAGTTAATTCACAGCAGTCAGTCTTTATTTTCAATGAATTTGGTATTCAATAACAGTATTTGTGCTGTACATTTTCATGTCAAAAGGTGAACGTATTTATTTATCTCTTAGCTAATACATTTTTGTTGGTATTACTGTTACATGACTCTGACTGACCACTTCTTTCTTTATTGGTAGTACATAGTTGTTGAATATATATAATTACACACTGTCAGAGCAATAAAAACAGATTGTCCAGTACAACAACAATTAAGTACCAGTGCTAACTAAATATGTGTTTTCACATAACGAGCAAAACTTAGCAATTCAGTACAGAAACATGAGCACCCTCGCATTAACTCGAAGCATACAGAGTAAAGTCGGGACTGAGATAGTCGCAGTCATTAGGCCCCTAATGGCACACACGAGATACTGAATTTCAGAGATAACATCACCCAGCTTTTACAACATTTTGTAGCTAAAAAAGTTTTAAAGTATGATTAGGCTCGCCACCATCAATCTTATTAGCGTCGCCAGAAACGAGGAGTTTTTGTGTGAAACATTTTATTTTATCGTAGAATTACGATTTTAGACGGCATAAAGAAACAAATGCCTTGTTTCTAGAAATTATGACTTTAGATTTTATCTACTTTTGCAAAAAAGTAATGACAGTGAATGACCTAACATGTAATAAAAAAGCTCGTTATTACTTAATTCACGTTAAATCGGCACTAAAACTGAAGTTTTCTAACAGCTGTTCAAAGAATTCACAGTTTAAATTCTAAATACTTTTCTACAGAATGTGTGTGTTGGGTAAACGTCTACTGAAGGATATCGACATCAACAACTGCACGAAGACAGTCGGAGCCCCGCTGCACCAACTGTTCTGCAACAATGGTACCTGCGATCCTTACTACCTGACTCACAACGTGTCTATCGTACAGGGTATCAAGGTACGACATTGTTTGAAATTCTATGATTTTTTTTATGTAATAGGTTGAAAAACGAGCAGACGGATTACCTGATGGTAAGCAATCAGCGCCGCCCATGGACACCCGCAACGGAGGAGTTACGAGTGCGTTGCCAACCTTTTAGGGATTTGGAGATTTAGGGATTGGGGGAGGGGAAGGATTGAGCCTCCGGACAACGTTGTGGTTTATACAAAAAAAAAAAGATCTCCGCAATCAATTCAATCTAAATCCCTTAGTTCAATCTAATGGAATCCTTTTTTTTAAGGATGCGATAAGCAAGATTATTAAACGGTTATATTAACCAACCATTTTAACTTCCAGGGCTTAAAGAGTGGAGTTTTCTTTGACAACCTTCAAGACTCGTTCCTTCAACTCGGCCAATACATCGCTTACGGCAAGGAACCCGAGGATATCGAGCAGATGGAGAGACCAACTTATAACCAAGTCTACGCTGACCTTACCACGACCTTTACCATCCTCATCGGAATCTTCTTCCCCTCCGTAACTGGTGAGAGAATAAATAAATCTTAAAAAATTATAAGTAACAGAAATCTTGCATACAAGGCTGATTCAAATATCAATACTAGAATAAAAGAGATAATAGTCATTAAAACGACGCTTAGCTGCAAAAATATTTGTGTCTATATATTTAATAATTCTTTCCAACAGGTATTATGGCTGGCTCTAACCGCTCGGGTGACTTGGCTGACGCTCAAAAGAGTATCCCTATTGGAACGATCTGCGCTATCCTTACCACTTCCACCGTCTATCTGTCCTGCGTACTTTTGTTCGCTGGCACTGTTGACAATCTGCTTCTTAGAGACAAGTAAGAGGTTCTTCTTTATTTGTCGTAAAATTAACTTTACTAAAGAAAATTATATTTGTCCAAAATATGATTTCACAATGTATTTATCCTTACTTCCAGGTTTGGTCAATCTATCGGTGGAAAACTCGTAGTAGCTAACATGGCGTGGCCGAACCAATGGGTGATCTTGATTGGTTCCTTCCTGTCAACCCTGGGAGCTGGTCTGCAATCCCTCACTGGAGCCCCACGTTTACTGCAAGCTATTGCTAAGGATGAAATCATTCCGTTCTTAGCACCTTTTGCCGTCTCATCTAGCCGGGGTGAACCAACAAGGTAAGACAAAGTTACTGGAACACTTATTAAGAGCTTATGCACCCAAAAGACAGTTACATTCTTGACATCAGTATCATTCTAAGATTCTAAGATTTTAAGCTGTTAAAAAACTTAAATTGTACTTTGTAATTCCAGGGCCCTGCTTTTAACGATGGTGATCTGCCAATGCGGTATCCTTCTTGGCAATGTTGACATCTTGGCTCCTCTACTCTCCATGTTCTTCCTCATGTGCTACGGCTTCGTTAACCTCGCCTGCGCTCTGCAGACCCTCCTTAAGACTCCTAACTGGCGACCCCGGTTCAAGTACTACCATTGGTAAGAAGAAATGTATTCCGAGATCTTCAGAAGACTGAATTGTCATAGAAAAAAAATACTTTAAAAAAGCACATATAGTTTCTTATTAAATATGAAATAAAAATGTCATACGTGTATTCCAGGTCTCTTTCGTTGGCTGGACTTACGCTTTGCATCTCTATCATGTTCATGACGTCTTGGTTCTACGCTCTGATTGCCATGGGCATGGCCGGCCTCATCTACAAGTATATTGAATACCGCGGGTAAGTCTTCTTCCCTTCATTGGCATTGTCTAGTTAGATTGCTGTTCAAATAGAACCATAGAAGTAACCAATACCTTACTATAAGACTGCTCAAAAAATTAGCATTTTTGTTTCTTTTATATTACAAATTCAATTCACATAGATCACAATTCCTTGCCAATACACTTTCAGAGCTGAGAAAGAATGGGGAGACGGACTTCGTGGTCTGGCCCTATCAGCTGCTAGATACTCGCTGCTACGTCTGGAACAAGGACCTCCTCATACCAAGAACTGGCGTCCTCAAGTATTGGTGCTTGCCAAATTAAACAATGAACTGATGCCTACCTACCGAAAGATGCTAGCTTTTGCCAGTCAACTGAAAGCTGGTGAGATATTTTTATTTGATTTCAATGTGATACGAAAGCAATAAAGGAATATCATTTTTAAAAGGCTTCATTTAAAATGCCGTCATTTCGTCTACTGATTATCTGCTCACATCATCGATCTCAAACACTACTGAACGGTGCATAAAATCTTATTCAGCTGTCGATAAAATGATTCTTGGGTGAGACTAAAGCTAACAGTACAAAATTACTTCATAATATCTTACAACCTACTAATGATATACCCATTGTCACGCTGTCATCCGAAACCTTTAAAATCTACATAATCTTTGTATATTGTCTTTCAGGCAAGGGTTTGACAGTATGTGTATCAGTGCTGGGCGGCGACTTCCCTCGACGATCTGGTGACGCGACCTCTGCGCGACAGAACCTTCGTCGCTGTATGGATGAGGAGAAGGTCAAAGGCTTCGTCGACGTCCTCGTGGCACCTCATATCGCTGATGGACTTAGCCACCTGTGAGCAATACTGGAATTTAGTTTTATATTGCACACTTTATAAACCAAACAAACTCAGAGGTCCGTCACATCTGAGTTTGTTTAGACATATTTTCTCAGAGTAGTCGGATAGGAACTGCCGGTTCTGTCTAGTTATTTTACATATCATTTTAACGTGTAAAAGTGCCGCTTTATGGCCTATTTGCAAAAATAGAATAATATTTTCATTGTTTCAATGCTGTGATAGGCCAACTCAATCTAACAATTAAGAGTAATTTGTTTTTATTAAGCTAAATAAATTCTTTAATTCTTAAAATTTTAAGGTATTTTGCATTTATTTGGATGAATATACTATATAATTATCACTGTCTATTTTCAGGGTACAAACGACGGGTCTGGGTGGTTTGAAACCCAACACAGTGATCGTGGGCTGGCCGTACGGTTGGCGCGCGGCCGAGCGGCCCGAGCCTCGCTGGCAAAACTTCCTCCACACCGTGCGCGCTGTCGCCGCCGCACGCATGGCCATGCTCGTACCTAAAGGCATTAACTTCTTCCCCGATTCCAGCGAGAAGGTAGCTTAACGGTTTCATACTTTTGTTATTAATTTGTTTTTTAGTGATTTTAAATATGATGTTGGACAGGATATGAACAGGAAGCAAAAGTTAATCAGGTGCTTAATTGGATACTACGCCCTTTTGGATAGGAGTTAGTAAACACATTAATCTACACAAAACTTTCCTTCTAATAAACTGTAATTTTACCAAACGTAACAATGGAAAGAATCCAAAATGTAATTATTGATTTGAAAAATCCTTCTCAGGTGTCCGGCAATATCGATATCTGGTGGATCGTCCACGACGGTGGCATGCTAATGTTGCTGCCTTTCCTGCTGAAGCAGCACCGCACCTGGAAGAACTGCAAGATGCGCATCTTTACTGTTGCCCAGATGGAAGACAACTCCATTCAGATGAAGAAAGACTTGAAGATGTTCCTATACCAACTGCGACTTGAGGCCGAAGTAGAAGTCGTTGAAATGGTAATTATACTGCCATATAATATTTAGAATATATGATGCAGCACAGATCCTCCTCCAAAATGAATTAAGGATGGAACGTAACTAATTATGTGAAAATGCAATTACAGACGGACAGTGACATATCTGCGTACACCTATGAGCGAACCCTGATGATGGAACAACGAAACCAGATGCTACGTGAACTGCGGCTGAACAAGAAGGAAACCATGGGCATGGTGAGTTCAATAACACACTATTATCTAACAATGAAATATAACAATGTTCTCAATTAATTGTTGACTATGTTGTACAAAGCTTTGTATATATTAATAACTCTACTCTGACCTAGAACTAACATGTTTGTCTGTCGCCTATATACAGATGCAAAATTTCGTGGATTATCGTGAAAACGCTGAGGAGAAGTTGCCTTTGGTAAAGTGGATATAATTAACCCCTGATTCGAGTCCACTTATTTTCTTTAAGAGCATTTTGTTGATAGCTATACGTTGATAGCTCCCGCATTTTCAAGTCTACACTAATTTCTCGTTACTTTGATCCAAGCAATGTGTAGATGAGTTTTATTTTTAGCTTTAAATTCTTGGTGTATATTAGATTAAATGTTGTCCTCTTAATGGCTAAGACTTTCCACGATCACTACTTCATCTTAATGTACATTTCTATCATCACATTTCCACCAATTCAGTTTTAAATGAATTTGGCTATCTACTACCTACATGTTTGCTTTTGATGTTTTAGATCATTCCTTCATCTAAATGTTCATCACTTCTCACTTAACTCCTCTCGCTGTATTTATATTATCACTGTTTGCACTTACATATTATTCTACTTCTATTTTATCCATAAGACTACGACTTCAACTTTACCTATTTCTCTCGATGTCTATAAAATACGGCATGCAACTCCGTCAATTCACGTTTATTATTTGATATTGACCAAAACTTTTAATTTATTGGTGTGATATTTTTACGAATGGTTAGTTTTTAGAAGATAAATGGCAAAAAAGACTCTGAAGAACGAACATCTATTGTATTGATTTTATTATCACTATTGTTCAAATTGAATATGAGGATGGCCCAAAATTTTGGATCAGATCTGATACCTCACTGATTCATTTTGCTGAAATAATTAAAAGCTGTGAATAATGTTTCATTATTAATTTAATAAAAAAAAACTTCTTTGACCTATTCACCGTATATCATTTTCGGTTTAAAGTAATATATCATAATTTCTACGATTACCTTTATCAGTTTGAAATCATTCAATAGTTAAATCCATTGTATACTACGATGGAGTCAATAAACTCGTCGCCAAAAAAACAATAACTGCAGGTTAATAAAAATATAAAAATCCAAAATTAATGTTGTTTTCTAAATATATCATGTCACAACAGAGCTACTTCTCATTACAACCAAAAACTAGTATTCAACAGCAGAACTAATGCGTACATTGTGTATACAGGTGCAAGCCATTGTGGATCATCACCACGCCGACGTGAAGACTGCAAGCAAGGTTCGATTCGCAGAACCTGGCGATGAAGCACCAACTGATGCACCATCACCTCCACTCGCCGATACTGAGGACAAAGACAAAGATGACAAGGTGAATATAACTCCTGCACGTACCACACTACATGACAATATATCTACTGGTCTAAAACTAGATATAATAAATATAAATAAAATCAATAAGGAAATCAACCTTAATGACAAAATTAACCTTAATGACAAAATTAACTTTAACGACAAAATGAACTTTCATGCTAAAATAAACTTTAATGGAGTACATGGAAAGCTATATTACAATTGCTTTAGACTGGTAGAGATATGTGTGGTGTTAATGTTTTCCTGCACTTAGATAACCCCTTTTCAAGATGCTAAAAACAATGAGTGCTTTGTGTAACTGAGTGTATCGCTGAAAACGAAAATTCTAATTAACCTTTATACGGTGACATTTCTTATTTAAATTGTAAAAAATTATACAATAATTATGATTAATGATTTTAAGAATATTTATTTGCTTAAATACAATAATGAATTGAAATGATCCAGTAAATTTGTACCTTGAAACAATAATACCTACATTAACATGAACCAGCTTCTTATTTTCTCAGCTAGCCCACAATTCATGACCTGTATATATTTTTTACAAAATCTCATACTCATTGTCATTTAACCCTTTTTGTTTCAAGAAATTAAAAACATTCATATTATTGTTGTGTGTAACTTGTCTTGGTTTACGATCTCATTGACAGGTACAAGACAAGTTTTGTCGGTAGCCTAAACATTTTACTTGGCAATATCTTTTTACATTTATTTATTTGTATTATTTTTCAAATGAATTTCTTCTTGGTTGAAAGTAACACGTTTAGGTTTCCGTCAGTACATGTGTGGTACACACAAGCTGGTGTTTTATGCACTGCAAACCATGATCAGCCATCTTTACTTATAATTTATTTAAGTTACTCATGTCCGTCTCCACTATCATTACGTCACCAGCGAGTCCTAGCGAATTTACACACGGTGGTCATATGTTTGCGATGAGTTCATTCACGTTGATTTGTTCACTTTAGTTTGTTTCGTTGTCCACATTAGTTAAGAGGTTTGTTTGAATGTCAGTAGTGAGTTATCGTTTAACAATTAAAATAATATATGACATCCCGTGTTTCATTCGCCTTGAATCCGTCATGTGCAACACAAACAAACAAATCGCGGTTCAAAATTCAATTTGGAAATGGAAAACACAAATTGGGGTTAAATAGGACGACTTTCGAAGTAGTTTGTTGCACATAATCGATTCAATGTGGGACTCGCCCGATGAACGGTCGCAGTGCGAGGATGCCAGCCCGCCTCCCGACGACAACAAGCACAAGGACCAGCCCGCCAACGGCGACGTCAAGCCCAAGCCCAACCTCTCCGACATGACGCCGTGAGTGTTCTTTCTATTCTTACCTATGCCAGATATCCGGGGTTGCGGGGTAGGAGCAATATGGCATCAAGGCCTCGACCTAACACAAAAGGAGGAACGCGGAGTTTTTAGTCAATAAGAGTCTGACACTCTCTCTCCCCTTACCCTGGGTGGGAGAAGATATTTGATGATTTACCCCGGACAAAAAAAAATCTATGTCGGCTATATATATACACTTTTCGTTGAAGTATTATTTATGTGATAGGTCGTCAAACAAGTTGACTGATTACCAAATGGTAAGCATTCAGCGCCACTTATGGACACTCGCAATAACAAAGGAGTTACGAGTGCGTTGCTGACCTTTTTGGGATTAGGGAGTTGGAAATTTAGGCATTCGGGAGGGGAAGGATTGGTTTATATCTAATAGTCTTATGCCAAGCTTGTTTATTTAAAGAATTGTAAAATAAAATTTATGAATTTGTTTTCTATAAATTCAAATACGTAAACATGTTGCATTCATTGTATCAGTGACGAGGGCACGGTGCGACGCATGCACACGGCGGTGAAGCTCAATGAGGTGATCGTGTCTCGCTCACATGACGCGCAGCTGGTCATCCTCAACCTGCCCGGTCCTCCACGCGACACCAACATTGACCGGGAGTCCAACTGTAAGTACTCTTACTATTATTCAACTGAATCAAATACAGTAATAACAAAAAAAATGTTTTCAGTTTAGTTTACGTAGCCTTCGTAGCAAGTGCTACGAGCATTGTATTTGAAACTGTCTATGTCCAATAAAGTTTATTTCCGTGTCATTTGTATCGACTACCAATAAAATGTAAGTATAGGAACACATCTTACAGCAGTCGTTAAAATGCAAAATGTAGTACTTAGTATATACTCCGATAGTACGAAGAGTCAGATTTGCTAAGAAATGTCGTTTGATTGCAGACATGGAGTTCCTGGAGGTGCTGACGGAGGGGCTGGAGAAGGTGCTGATGGTGCGCGGCGGAGGCCGCGAGGTGATCACGATCTACTCGTGAACGCGCGGGAGTGCTTCTCTCCTAACTGTTAGTGCTATGGTTTGGAACGTTCCGATCGGTCGGGCTCGAGTCTCGTCGATCGAAAGACTTAACCCGCGCATCTCTAAGACTGCCGACACGACCGTCGCGTTCCGGTTCGTTCATAAATATTGTATGTATTTTCTTACGATGATTGTATTCGGCGTTCGTTTTACTTGTAAATGTTAGCTTAATTCTACGATACATTTTGTTGAATTTGCTGTTTAGAGTGACGTTGTTTTGAAATTTATTCACTGTTGTATAGATATTTATGGATATGACGTATGTATCTAACGAGAAGCCTTATCTGTCGGACGTTAGCTCTAAGTTCGTTGTTTTGTTACTACATAGACTAGCTAAGAGTTACTTCGAGTGGTCTCTTGTTTACCAACATGCCATATAGTTTTACAGACGTTAACAGTTTTAGGTTAATTTGTATCATTTTTGTACATTATTTTATTTTCTATGGTTGTAATCACGGCGTAGATATACTTTGTAAGAGTATACATTTCTTGAAATCATGAAGATTTTTAACTATATGAAATTGTATTTTGTAAATATTATTCTGTTCTAAGATTTACATCTGCTCAACTTAAAACTAACCGTGGGACTGACGCAGGAAGTTACCATTTCCAACTGTCGCTATCCACAAGTACATGGATTTATAAAAAATTTCATTTGAACATCATTTCTAGTCACTTTTCGATATTAGTTTTATCTAATACATACACAATTCGTTATACCAAAAAGGTTTAAGTCATTAAGTGGACACAACTGGAAAAACCCTCCAGTAATCATGATGAGTAGATGGACAGCTACAGAACGCGCTGAGGGACACCTAGGTAACTATTAACTATTCGTATTTTAGTATTAGCGTGAAGATTTAATAGTTAAACGCGATCTCTCGCAATTAACTTAGAGAATAACTTGAAAACTTATTGCGCACATTCGCGTAGGTAGATGATTTCTTACTGTGATCGTTTATATAAAGTTTTATTGTTTTAGTTTTACTTAAGTGGTAGCGGTAATACACAGACTATCCTGTAGTAGTCATCGTTCAGCAGAATGTACATTCCTTTCACGTATATTTATATGTAGTTGCCTTCAATCGCTCGTGCTATTGTTTTCGTCGATTAGGCTGCCTTACGACATGCGTCATTAAACCAAATAAAACTAAAACTTTGAAAACGCTTCAAGTTGTCAAAAACGGTGTTATAAACATTATAAACTCATGATTTTAAGAACATAATAATATGAATGACTGTCAAAGCTACAGAGCTCTATTTTCGCAAACTACTTTTGAAAAGACGAGCTATCAAGACACGCAAAGCTTTCAGAAAACGTAAACAATCGTTTTAATTCGAAATTAAAAAGTAATACGGCTTATTTTGGTGTAACTGTAAAGTTTATAGATATTGTTATTTGTTCGTTATGAATGGAGACATCTGAAGCAGTCTACAGCTTGGCACTCAGATGCGCGCGTACGTATGATGAAAACTTGTCAATTTTGATTTACCGTTACACCACTCTAGTTAAGGAAGTATTTCTTATTCGTATAAAGAGTGTTAGATAACTGCCAAATAGGAATCGGTGTTGTAAAATATCCTAGTCCATAAGTGAGCTACCATCTTCTCAATAATAACTGTGTTTATGAACTTTCATAAATATTTACGAAACATTTACAGTTATAGACATTTAATAGCTAACAGAACCTTGTAGACGATAGTTAGTTTACTCTGCTGTCTTTGTTTCATAAAACTATTTTAGTATTAAGTTTACCATTCGATTGTTAGCATCCCTTCGATGTTCATAACGAACTTTAACTGTAAATGTTATTTTAAAAATTTATCAATTACCTTAATAATGTCCTAAGATTTTACGATAGCGTCAACTCGAATTTTGTACGAGAGTTGATATTTTTAAGATTTCCTCAAATAAAAAATAGATTAAAATTTTTCGTAACTCGTACTCACAAATACAATTAACGTCATTTAATGTTCACGCTCCTCGCGTTACGAACAAAGTAGGAATTAATTCGAATGCATTTAAGTATTCCTTTTTGTCATGGTTGTAGATGCCATAATAATAAATTAAGTACGTAGATGTTAGTTATTCTATGAATCGACTGTCGACTACCCGTCTATCGAGATACCAGTGGGCAGTAACTGAACACTCGGTCGCCTAGCAACCACAAACAACAAGCCCGAGGCCGCCGCTCTATCTACCACAATGGAAGAATAGCGATATATATTAACAAAAATTATAACTCACTTAATAAGATTAAGTATAAATCATTCTAAATTATATCTGTAACTCCATGTTTGACAAGTTTCGTGATAATACATCTCTCTTTATGATTTTGTGAACGTGGTTATCACTTAGTGATTGTACACAGGCGTAATGAACTAGTGATCACATATCTTCCTTTCACATAGAAAAAATATATCTACATTATAAAACTATTTATGCCTAATAAATAGGTAATGGACGATAATTTATTTAAAATGAAATTTATTGAATTATATATTATCGAAATTATAAAAAAATATATTATGTAACTAGTAGGTCTTTATTACATCTAAGTCAAAGTCTTCAAATTGGATTTTAACAGAATTATTTGTGTTCTTTAAGAACAATTTCTTTAGTATATTGACGACTATATTTAACAGCTGATTCATAACAAATGACAATAGGTATAGATGTACCTGTATGATAAAGAAAGGCGACGTAGAGGGCGTTGAACGACGGACGAGCTAACACCTGGGATACCTTGGTCTTAGTATTTGAGCATCACAGGAACGTGTCCACACCGGTGACAAGGTGCTTCGCTCCTACCTACTTAATCTTACTTGGTAACAACATTGTAGATAGTTCAAATTATTAAGTAGAACACTAGTTAATGTTTGATGCCCACGATAACGTCATACATGTGCCAAACATCATTATTTGTGAGAGTAAATGACACGGTGGCAAATCTATAGCGTAAGTCATCATACTTACATTTTAAACTTACTACAAAATCATCTCTCGATGAACTATCAATAACGTGTGTAATAATAATATTAAAATAGCTTTCGAAGATACATTACTTATGTGTTAGACATGTCACGTTTAATAACAAAGTTGTATTTCAACAACATGCACACCTACATACTCGTAGATACTCTCTCGGTATAGATTAAAAATCGTGTTCGTAATTTCAGTCGTTACATTTTAGCTTAATAATAATAATAAAAAATCATTAAAAATTATTAGCTGTACAGTCACCAACGTATTCCAAAGCAAGAGTGTTAACAAAAACACCGCTGAATACGCTTGTAACTGTACTTTACGAGTATCAAATAATTATTGATGTAAAACTATTAAATTACCTATTTTAGATTTTAGGCTGTGAGTCAGCGTAAACACATTCTTTACAATTTAATATTCAAGCTAGAGTTGCTGTGATACACCATTATGGCTATAAAATTATAGTGTAGTCATTTCTGGCTATGAATAACAATGGGAGACGACGTGGATGTACGTTCAACGCCATATTCTATCTGTGATTTCACTGATGTGTAGATGCACCTTTATCCGCGTTACCTAACACAGCCCTGAGATATCATTCCCCATCTCTGCCTTGAGTACGACTCGTAGATATTCTGCCTCATAAGTACCCTGTACTATCTTATTGCGAATTACAAACTACATAATGAAATGTAACTAACAAGGCTGTCTCTACTTTGAAGATATTTTGAAAATTGTATTTTATAAAGCCTATGTCTAACAGCCAGAAATGTACCTAGATTGTCTATTATTGGATCTACTTGAAAACTATTCTTGGTCTTGAAAATATAAAGCGAACAAAGATAGCCTACATCACGCTAAATCTCAAGATATTGAGCAATAACGAAAGTATTTAGATAGTGATCGCCGGGCGGTATGCTATTTAACTTATAAATATTATGTATTTTGATCTGGAACGAGTTTTTCATAGAAAAATATTTCGAAGTGTAAAAGTTGTTTAAGAAATTATTAAAATATTCAAATAATAATTCTAGAAAGTTAGTCAGTGAGTAATTATAAGAAAAAGATGTTACGAGTATAATAAAATAAACTAATTAAAATGTCGCTTCATTTCTTTTCCCTTTCCCCTAATTGGTATGAATCTGATCCTACTATCATAGTATGATAGTATGATAGGAGGTGGATGAGTTCTATCAAAATACTAAGCGGGCAAAGCCGCGCGCAGAATCTAGTCTTCAATAAAGACGATGACTGGGCATAATTATACCTACCTACCTGCCGCCTGGAAGCGCTAGTTAAAAGCTGCGTCTGACTACGATGTTGTGAATGTGACAATGAGTATACAACACGGTTTTTGCCTCGAAATTGGATTCGAACTCAAAGCAGTCGCTGGGGAATGAGTCAAGTGTGTCGTCGCAGTCAGGTAAGGAAACTGATTTTCCCCGAGCCCAATTCTCAATGAAAAACTTTAGGCAACCACCACTGAAATTCTGATTGTGAGTCAATTGTCTTTGTTGAACTTTGAGTTAGAAGTCTTACCAAAGGGACGTTGCTGATAAAATAGCTGAGTCTTTTTTATTTTATTTTTAAGTTTTTTATCTCTCTTTTTAGATTTATTTTTCAAATTGTTATGTACCTAATAAGCTTTTTTTTATGTAATAGGTCGGCAAACGCGCAGACGGATTACCTGATGGTAAGCAATCAGCGCCGCCCATGGACACTCGCAACGGAGGAGTTACGAGTGCATTGCCGACCTATTTGGGATTAGGAATTTGGAGATTTAGGGATTGGGAGGGATCGGGGGAAGGGAAGGATTGGAACCTCACTCACACGAAACACAACACAACACTTTTGTTGCTGTGGTTGTTCCACGCCGGTTTTCTGTGAGGCCGTGGTATCACTCCGGTCAAGCCGACCCATTCGTGCCGAAGCTTGGCTCTCCCACACTTAAAAGAAAGACACTTGACAAACTTTTGTAATTTGTTAAATTCTAAAAATCTATCCTTATCACTAGGTGAAATAATCTTTTTTATCATCAATGTCGATGATCAAAGATGAATCACGAGAAAATGACTCGGGTTGTGTGGGTAATGTAATAATCATTAATATTAATATTTTGTGACATCCCACTAGTAGATAGATACTAGTACTAGGCATTGGATTTCCATTATTATACAGGTCACAATTATTGTAATAAACCGGCTTAAATAATCTACATACCTACCTATACTTAAGTAGGTACCTACCTATAATAAATCTGTAGAGGTCAATTCTACTAATAAATCTGTAAAGGCCAATTCTACTACACTATCAGTGGGTGATTACCTAGTGATCGATACTGATGGCAAAAAGACAATCAGTAGGTAAACTTTTGTCTGTGTCTATTTGTCTGTTTGTTTGTTCCTATAAGGAACATACATACAGAATGTATGTTCCTTATAGGAACAAAAACTACTCGACATATTTTAACGAAACATGGTACAATTATACTTCTTCGTCCTGTGCAGGTTATAGGATACCTACTTTTTATCACGCTACAATTAATAGGAGCAGAGCAGTGTAAGTAAATGTTGGGAAAACGGGAGATGTCACAAATTTTTTTTTAGCTTCCGTCGTGTGTTTTAGAAGTAATGTATCACGGAAATGTTTTACCATAAGTCTATCTTATATGGTTGATTCATAATAACACGTGTAACTCCTGATTTCTTAGCAGTTCGGAGCATACTGATTATTTTAAGTATTTGTTAACTCTTACGTTAATTAGGTATATTCTCACTGATCCCTAATTTAAAAAAGTTTACATTAATACAAATTCAATAAAAATTATGATAGAAATCAGTATGGAAAAACCAAACTTGTACATGAAATTCGCCTAGAACGCGTGCACCTTTGCGACACCATGCAGTAAAATAATAATACCTACCTTCTGTGAGTATGGGCCGTTTAGTTATTTTATCCTCTCCTTTTACAGGTCACCCACGCTACATTACTAAAAAGTATAACAACATCCATATAATAGTGGAGAAATTTACTACCTCTCAGCTCTCAGCATTGCATCCGTGCGAAGCCGAGGCGGCTCGATAGTTTGAAATATAAGACACTTGTGATATAAATGTTTCAATACGAGGATCAGGGGGCACAAATTTTATCTTGTACTTACGGTTTCGCGCTGAAGAGCGAGAAAGTTTATTGGCCAACGATGACGCCATTCCCTCCTCAAACTCCAAGTGCTGGAGGATAGAGTGCTGTCTGATGCCCTAGAGCTAGTCGATGATTGTTCTCCATCCGAAGCAACAATATCGGTTTCATCATCATCATCAGCCTGTTGTCGTCCACTGCTGGAAATATGCCTCCCCAATTACACGCCACTGAGCTCGATGTTCAGCTCTTCTCATCCAACCACTGCCAGCCACCCTGCGGATGTCGTCAGTCCACCTAGCTGGAGGGCGCCCTACACTACGTTTGCCTACACTGTTTGCTCCGTACTTATTACCCGTTTCATGATATAAAAAAACTTTTCTAAAGTGGAATGCTATCGAACACTCATTATACTAAAACTTATAGGTATAACTCAAAATGACAAATATGAAATTTATAGCAAATAAAAAAAAGTATTTCTTTCCAATCACAAGAATGCAAAGCAATGACATCTGACGACGAAATTGGCGGTAAATCGTAGGCGCCCTCTGGTGATAGAAATATGGAGGTAACTCAATATTTAATTCAACGAAGGTATTTTCACAGAATGATAAGGATTGCTTCTTCACATGATTGCTGTATTTTCGAAGGCATATAAATAATACCTCGATGTACTGTCGTATCTTAGATAGGTATAGAAAAGAAAGAAAATGGTATTGTGTAATAATTTATTTATTATTTATCATATAATGTGGTATATCACCTCAAAAACTACACAAATTTACTACCTACACTATTGTTAATAATATACAATAAATAAAACAATTATAATAAAACTCTTTTTAAAATTTTGTTTATAAACATCACCACCCAAAAGATTTTTACAGGTACAATATAACTTTAATTTGGCAAACCCCTTATTGATATTGTAGTCTTAAGACTAGAAAAATAATTTATTTGAACTATGTTACTTAGTAACTATGTATTTTCGGTTTTTGTTTTACAAACATAAAAAATCTATTCAACAAAACTATTCACTCACTGCTGTATCTAATGAATATCCAAAACAACACCAAAATTAGTATGGCCTACAAACATTGTTCTGCATTATTAATACTCTCAAGAAGATATTCCCTCAGCCCATTCTTATTGTATGTAGTGTAAAACTGACTAAGTAAAGAATATTTCAAACTTACAACTTTCATCCCTAAAATTTTGAGATGCCTCTTTTTCATCACCTGGGAGCCAATCAGGTGTTCATTGTCAGAGCAATAATGATCAGGCAAATGTATTAACATAGCAATGTTAGCATTCCGAACTGTTTTCGATTTCCAGTTGAAAGTTGTACTACCCAAACCAGCGCAATGCAACATGACATCCAGTAGATATGTTTCATCAGATGGTAAATATGGTATAGACACAGCTATTGACAGTCTATCTTGACCTCCCGCTACATTCACAAGAATATCCATAATTTTTTCCAGAATATTTTTTATCCTAAAGTCTTGAGAAATTGGCTTTGACCACTGGTCTTTTGGTAATAGTGGCCCCAAGTACTTCTCACATTCTAATGTCATTGCGGTGTCTATCAAATAAAACCTCTTCCACATATCAGGACTTTTTACTTTTGCCAAATACTCTGGGCTCAACATTCTACGGACTAAAGTAGAAGGATACTTACCTAAATAAATTAATGATAGTACTATTGAACTAAGATCACAGCTGGTCATTTTATCAAAATTTTCATTCATGATTTTATCTACAAGAGTCCAAAACTCTGTAATGTTTACAGGGTCATATTGCAAATATCCAAAAGGATATATGAAAGATTTTAGGAAACTAGGTGGCACAACATCCCAATGTCTCAGAAAATATTCACTGCATGCATTCAAAATCTGTTCATTGCATATTTGGAACTGCATACAAAAGTTCAAAAGTCCTACAATAAGGACATGGCTCTCTATCTTAGGGCCCTTCAACTTCATGTATTTCTCAACTGCCTTCTCAATTTTATCATCAGTATATTTCAATCTAGTCAACTTAGTAATAATATCCAACAAGGAATCTTCATCCAAGGCATGTATATTGGCACAGAGCCAACTGCCAACAACACCAAACGATTGGACCGATAAATATTTTTCCATTACAAAAGAGCTCAATACATCTTGCATGACAGGCACTTTAAGCTTAAACCACAAATCACATAATTTTTGTTCTAGTAACGTCAAAATAATTCTTTTACTAACTTTTAAACCATGAAGGATGCCAAACACCTGTACTATATTGTTCTCATCTATTTCTTTTTCTTTAGCAACAAATCCCACCCACAGTTTATCAATGGTTTCAGAGTACTTTGTATCATTTTTATTTTTTATTAAAAAGTTTATAAATTGACACAACTGGTCAATTGTAAGCTTGTTGTCTATAACACGTAGAAGCAGCTCATCATGGAATTTGTATTTGAAAGGCTCCATGAAGGATGAAACTGTGTTCAGTATCTCCAGTATAGTGTTCGTATCTTCAGTTTTCATAACAACCTTCAGAAGTTTATCTAAAATTGCACCTTTGGCTAAATTAATTTGCATTGTTTTAGGATCTAAACTTAGTGAGTTTGGATTCTTTTCAATGTCGTATATTCTTTCGATGGCACCTAATGCAATATTTGGCGTAATCTTCGTACACTTTGAGAGTAACGAGAACACATCGCGAAGATCCAAGCATTGTTGAAATTCTTCTTGAATCAGCTGATAGCTAAGAGTGTCTTGCGCATTTGTTGTTTTTTCTTCGTTTGGCTTATCTTCGATATCTGTGATATTTCTTAATTTCTTGATTGCCACCGGAAGTTCTTGTACATTAAATCCATTTTCAATTAAAATAGTACTACTGCTGAATTGTGGATTATTGCCAGATTTGTCGTCACTGAACGTTCGAACCATAAAAGTTTGTAATGGACCAGAAACTGAAATATTTCCAGTACCAGGAGACAGGATATTATTTTTAGCTTTTAAATATGTTCTCCTCAAAACTAATGACATTTTATAATGTTAACAAATAGGTACGTCTTAAAATAATGAAAACAAACAAAGTAAACCTTTTATTTTGCGATCACATTTTGACAACTTTGACATTGAATTCAAACGAATGTTACAGTATTACCCTTAATTAAATTATAGCGGGACGATAAATTGCATTGCAATTAAATTGTAGGCCTGATTAATTCGAAAGTATTCCCTGATAATAACGAAAAATTATAATTTTATTCGTATTTTACTATACCTAACGTTAGAAAACATTTCTAATGGCCACGTGAGTGTTTTTACTTTTGGCAACACCTATACCATATCTGCGTTCAATGTTTTTCCTTCATTCGTATCATTCATGAATTTCATTTTCGGAATATTTCATTCATTAGCTCCGTAGTTCATTCTAATATCTTTCGGACGCTTGTGTCCTATTGTGTTTTTCCTCTTCTTTTTTCGTATATTCTTTGATTTTGATAAGATATGTCACTAATTGAAGTAACTTAAAAAGTATCAGTAATGTTGTACTCTAAAACTTAATAGCCTTTAAAACAAAATTGGGTTAAACTTCCGGCAAACTATTCTGAGCCGATATTTTTATTTGCTCAAGTCAGCTGATTTTCTTTTTTGTAAGTTGTAACTTTTTAAAGTTTGTTTATATTAGATCGTCTACGGGTGATTCTGAATTGGTGGTAATAATAAAACAAACAGATATAAGTGCTAGTTGAGTTATCAGTGTTTTATGTTTCTACTGACAATACTGTAATCATTCGTGTTATAAGTGGCCCGAAATTCCTCAATTAATGATGGTACAGACCTACAAATGACTAACAAGTATTTTTAAATATCCAACGTTCAATATTCTCATTATTTCTTGTAGAATCCGTCTCCAAAAATTGAGTGACTGGTGATAAATAAGCAGTTCTATTTAATTCAAGCTGAACGAAGAGGTACCTTTTAAATTGCCAATATGCCTGATCAAACTCATGTAAGTACTAATTGCAGTAATAATACCCAATCGCATACTTAAAGAACCACTTGATTAACATTAATTAATTGTCCTTGTAAAGCTAGTTGCGCGCTTCATTAATGCGACGACATGGTTATGCCATGGGTCGCGACTCGAGACTCGCGGGTTAAACGTAAATTGTATGTTTGTAAACGCACCCACGACACAGGAGAAAATCCTAATGTGGGGCAACGTTTTCTAAAAATAAAAAAAAAAAAAAAATAAATAAAAGGAGTCATTTTCCTTTCATTCATAAAAATGTTTAGTCTACATAGTTTCTCCTTAATAAAATTAAGTACTTAATTATTCAATGATACCTAAATATACCACTCTACATTCAAAGAACTTTTCCTCCTGGCTCTTAGTTATCAAGTACGATTTGTTCGACCCACGCGCCACATTCCACACTACTGTGTTCGAAAAAATCTATATTCAACCAATTTCCTACTCCTTCATAACAGATAGGAGATGAACTAAATTTTGCTCATAACGTTATTAAAGAGTGTTTCTAAAATAATGATCACGTCCATCTGGTGTTAATTATTTATAACATTAGAATGATGCTACTATAAAAAAACCTATTAACGTCTAATGTGAGTCAAGCATGCATCTATTACAGCTTGTTAGTGTGAGCCGCTTCTCATGAACATATACTAAACATTATTATGATCTGTCTCTCATAGCACTAACAAACTAGCAATCAACCCAGTTGACCAATGGACGCACATTATTTCACTCGGCTACCTCTACTGACTAGTACTGGCTGTCATATAGGTACTGACTCTAATTAACACATATTTAAGAGGCCTGCACAGGCAACTCGTTATATTTCCATGTGAGGACAAATCTCCGTACAGTCACTGTGAAGGCGCGATAACTATTGTATACCTTTTACGTGATTATCTTAAAAGATAAGAAACACCTACCTAATGCAATGTTATGTTTGCCCACCTCTATAAAATACTTTTCTGACACTTGTTTTTATTGGCGGGTGTCGTGTTTCTTATTGTTCACGCAACTACATTAATATTGAATTACTAAATTATTTATTTGATACGAGTGCGGTGTATGCAAATAAAAGGTTGCTTTGTGTGAGACCCTGATCTAATTTATTCAGGTCATATTACGAAAAATTCGTAGGCACTCCTTATTATTATTTATACTGTCTCATCAAATAGACGGTAAGTGACTGCAGTGTTTTTATTCTACGTTTTAATTCAATAAAAAGCAACTCTGCTATCACTCAAATTACTTAAATAAATTACGCAACAAATTCATTGAATCTCCCTAAACTTGCATTGAAGGACAATCACATGCTTACGTATGGAATATAATTCAACATTGGTAATCTTATCTTCTACTAATCCTATGCTGATTTACGTTACAATCTAGGGAAAGCCACTTCAATCAATTGATACTATTGAAACATTGTTTACAAACTTCTCGTATATTTCTTTTCAGATGGATTTCCAATTAAAATGGGGCGTAGCCGGCGTGGGTATGATAGCTCACGACTTCCTGACTGCGCTGGGCACGCTACCGGCTGACCAGCACAAGGTCGTCGCCGTGGCCGGCAAAGATATAGAACGTGTCCACAGATTGGCCACGCTCCACAAAATCAACACTGCTTACGAAGGCTACGAGTCACTGGCGCGTGATGACTCTATAGGTAACAAAACGTCCTATTGTTTATACAAGGATCAGTACACAAACAAAAGATAACGAGCTAAATCATTACACCTGAATGACTTTGACACTAAACTTCTCCTAACATAACACTTGGAAGACAAGTTGCCTTTCCACTAACCCGCCTGATTTGCTTAAAGCATTACCTGAAAACTCTTATCGCGTTTGCAAGTTTGTGATTACATTGTCAACATAAAAATAACACTAGTCGAAAGACATGACCAAATAGGTATTGTGTTACATACTTTGCAGGTTTATACAAGATCGTAAATGTTTTCGTAAAATGCTTTTCAAGAACAGGAGCACTAGATGTGTCTCATGTACTATAATAATAAATACTTCAAGTTCAATCGGTGGATTAACTAAAAATTCGTTGCTTGTTAAGAATGATATGAACACATATCAATAGGTACATCAGTTCCGTATGTTTTATATAATAACATTCGTTATTTATTGCAATTTAAACTAAACGCAGAGTCTGTCGAAAATGTTCCTTGATATGCCACATAAATCATTCTTGATATGCATCGGATGTTGGTTGGTAAATGTAGTTTCGCTGCAAGCCATTTAAGATGTACCTTCTAGAAGCGCAGTACCTGTCCTTATTTTCGGCACAATGCAGATTACCTCCAAACTTAAAACATGCGTGGATATTAAAGTCTCAAGTCGTATACTTTAAGCCGAGGTTGTACTTCAAGGCAAGGTAGATACGACTGTCACTACTACAACATGACATGACACCACGACACGCGAGTCGCGCCTACCAAGGAGCCTTCAGATTTATCTGAAATATTTTTCTTGTTTCCAGACATTGTATTCGTGAGTGTACTCAATTTGCAGCATTACGAAATAACTAAATTAATGTTAGAGAACGGTAAACACGTGCTATGCGAAAAGCCTATGGGCATGACTTACAAACAAACTAAATCGCTGGTGGACCTGGCTCGCGAGAGGAAACTGTTCCTCCTTGAAGGGATGTGGTCGAGGTTCTTCCCTGCTTACGACGCTTTGGATCAGCACATATCTTCGGGCGGGCTTGGGGACATCTATCACATCAGCATACAGTTTGGGGTTGAGATTAACGACATTGAAAGGAACTTGTAAGATATTTATGATCGTTCATTGCTTTTGTCATAATCATGCTTTTCTTGTACAGACGCGTCAGCGCTATTTCATTTTGGACAGTGTTATTCTTGTGAATAACTTCGTGTTCATTCATTATCATTTCTTTATTGATATCGGTCGTCGATTTCAGAATGAAAGACTTGGGAGGCGGTGCAGTGTTAGACTTGGGCATATACATGTTGCAACTAGTGCAGTTTATATACAAGGACCCGCCTACTGACATCGTGTGCACGGGGCACCTAAGCAAGGCTGGAGTGGACGAGTCCATCTCGTGCGCGCTCAAGTACAAGGACGGCAGGACCGCCACTGTATCCGCGCACACAAGAGCTAATATGACCAACAAGGCGGAGATCGTGGGCACAAAGGGAGCTATCACGGTTAGTGCATATTTTCATTTTTAAAGACTAAATCAGTGCGCTGTTCACTTGCTGTTTTATCTTGTTATTCCACACAGCTCTAACTTCCATGTAATAACTGAGACCCGGCTGTGGACCCGGGTATAAAAATAGTCTTTCTTTAAAATTCATACATCAAGATGCAAATATAAAATGCTTTAAATTGCCCCAGTTATGTATTTAATATGCATGATTCTATGTAAGTATGTATCTAATACTAGCTACTCTCACGCGGTTTCACCCGCTGCTCGGCTCCATTTGATCGTAGCGCGATGCTTTATAGCCCATAGCACTCATGAATATTGTAGCTATCTATCAGTGAAATAATTTTGGCAATCCGACCAGCGGTTCCAAAGATTAACCCCTACATACAAACTTATAAATTTTACCTCTTTATAATATAATAGTATAGATGTATATAATATATCATGTATACCTTTACCCCCCTGCATTGGATGAAAAATGTCATGCGTTTTTCCAACTTACCGACTAAAATTGACTTGTGTGACACAGTATCTAAAAATCATCTTTGTCAATAATTGTAACACTCCGCTTTTATATCAATTACGACGTAAATGCTAATCGTGTTAATTGTTTGTAAATATTATCTCTTGCAGCTGGACTACTTCTGGTGTCCCACGGTACTACAAATATCGGCAGCTAACAATACCGAGTGGAGTTTACCTAAAGGAAAATACAAGTTCCATTTCCATAACAGCGCAGGCCTCAGTTACGAAATACAAGAATGTTGGGACTGTCTCAGTAAAGGTAAGGAAATCATAACATAAAATAAAAATATTATTACAACCGCTACACACTCTGGCAAGCTAAAATAAACACTACCTCCTTTACATACAGCTTTATTTTCAAAACATCTCGGTTTACAATGACATCTTTTGATTTATTTTTAAAATAACAATTCCATGTTTACCTTGTTCACATATAAAAGGCACGATCTTTCCGACGACTTTTGTTTGTAAGTAGTCATTAACTCTATGTACTTACGTGTGCAAATAAGTACGCAACTCATTGTTATATTATACTCCGTCACGTCATGTTAAAAATGCTAATTACATTTGTTTTTCAGTTTACTACGGTGCGGGATACATTTTTAATGGTATCGTTACTTCCTTTTTCTTTCAAATTATGTTAATTTGTGTTGTCTCATTACAGGCCAGCTGGAGAGTCCGAAAATGTCATTGGATGAAACTGTTCTACTCTCAAAATTAACAGACACCATGCGAGCTCAAGTAGGTGTCTTGGAAGCTGAGCTGAATTAAAGAGAATAAACAAAAGCCTGATATACTGGCAGCTCCAAACTTTTATAATGTAATACTTTAAACTACGTAAAGTTCTGCTTTAATTATTTTATATAAATGTACCATTAAGTGCCAGTCGAGGAACAAATGCTACGCGTTGTGATATTTTACCTAAATTCGGCCCGTTGTATACAATAAAAGTTACTTAAAGTACAGTATTTACCTCAACTAACTGTGATTATTAGTGTGTTGTGAGATGGTTGTTAAATGTTAATATAAAAATATATACCGCACGAAATTTGCAACTTACTTTTATTTATTTAATCGCTCTTAACCTTTCTAAAATACGATAGACTGTAGGAATATTCGTCTCATATTGATTACAATGGGTATGTTTCCATCCAGTCAAATATCAAATACAATATTTTTCAAATGCCAAAAATATTTTTAGGATATCCGTGTTTAATTGAAAAACACAAAAACTAAGCGTAGGTATATATATAGTAATAAAATACCAATGCGTTAAAGTGGCTGTTATTTGAATTGACTAGGGAAACATATCCCAATTAGTACAAGTATTTTAAATACAGTCTATCCTGACGTGCACGTCATATCCATATAGTTACGTCGTCGTTGTTCGAAGCATGGATTTATTTATCATAGCTCTCGAGTACTGTGCGAATGATGTTGGCTCCCTCGCGGATCTGTTGCTCTGTGATGACGAGTGGTGGCGCTAGGCGGATGGTCTGTCCGTGTGTGGTCTTTGTCAGCAGACCAGCGTCACGCAGCCGCAAGCACACGTCGTATGCAGAGATGCCTGTAAAGAAAACAGTCGTTGGCATTCTAAATGGATTAAGGACATCGTACCTACACGTTAAAAAATCAGAAAATAGAACATTGAAACAAGCCTAGAAACCTACGACGACTTCACATTAACGAAACCTCAACTGACGGGGTTATGTTTATTACATGAAAAATAAAACTCTAAATAAAATGTATAAAATTATCATAAGTAAACGTACTATCGTGAATAACGATGGCACACATGAGTCCCCTTCCTCGTACTGTGGTGATCTTGTTCTTGGGAATTTTGTTCAACTCCTCAACCAGAACTTTGCCGAGCTTCTCAGCATTTTCACACAACTTCTCTTCCAACAGCACCTGGACCAGAGATATTAATGGTTAAATATGTTATTGGAATAAAAATGACCAAGAAATTCATTGTTGGAGAAACCCACGAGGAGTTATTAACATTCTGGACCAACACGCAAAAATCTAAATAGGATAAAAAATATTGTGAATATTTAATCTAATAAATAAACGCACTATAGCGGCTGTATCCAAGATGCCAAAAATTTGGTTGGTAAATTGAGATTCATATAAGTAGATAGGTATCTATCTACCAGGGATGTTAGGAATCCGTCACCGTAACCGAATCCGAAATAATTTTTTTCGGATAATATCGGCTAGAGGAGCAACCTAATTGGGACACGTTATATTATTATGCTTGTTTTTATTTTTTAAATTCCTTTAAATTTTATTATCCGTAACCGTATCCAGTATAATAATCATTCCGATATCCGTATCCGAAATTTCATATCCATAGCAACTCTATTATCTACATAGAAAAGCAATATTTCGTAAATAGGTACCTTAATGGCTTCGGTAGCGACTGCACAGGCAAGAGGGTTACCACCATACGTGGATCCGTGAGTGCCGGGTGTGATCACCTAAAACAAATATTGAAAGCACAGGTTATATACAGTGTATAAGTACCTACAGAGATACAGTCTCCTGATTTCCTCATTAATATAGGAACACAGTACTGACTGATTAGCAGCCTAAGATAGTAAGGTATGTAGGTATTAGGGGTGCCTTCTAAGTTGGAAGAACGTTACCTATAATTATCTTATTTCTTCAGAAATTTTATCAGAGTGTCGAGGATCGCCAAAATGAAAAAATGGGGCTCAATAATATTTTAAGTAGATAAGTGGAGGGAGGAAGATTTGTCTAGCGTCTAAAGACTTTTACACTAAGTATAAGCTTAGGTTCGTGCCATTAATAGATAAACTTCTTAAAATAATATAATTTAAAACTAATTTGAGATAAAAACAGTATGAAAATTAAAAAAAAACATGTCTTGTTTGAGGGAAAAAATCAACAAATGACTTCTCCCGGTCTGGGTGGGGCGGGAGAGGCTGTCAGACTCTGACTAAAGATCCTGTTCCCTCTCCTGCTCCGGACCGGGGTCGCGGTACAATAACGTATGGCCACGCGTTCCCGGTCATAAAAATAAATGTGTAATGTTGTAAATTAATCTACCAAGTAGAAGGACATAAAAATATTTGTATCGTCTCTAATAACTTCATCAACAATAGGTAACAATACCTATGTATGTACTCACATTCATAACACTGTTGCTGGCTAGCACCGCGGAGACAGGCAGTACTCCTCCACTAAGTGCCTTACCCAGGATCAGGATATCTGGCTTGACACCCTCGTGGTCCACAGCCAAAAGTTTACCAGTGCGACCTGCAACCAACACGATGGTTCCAAATTAGTTAGTAGGTACCTACCAATATCTAAAGAGTACATATACCTATTGGCAATTTTATTTTTAAAAAAGAGTTCCTAATATCGAATATACACGTTTGTGATATTCCGCGCTCTGATTGGCTTGCTCCAAAATCCAACGCGGTTACGTTTTGATCACAGGAACCCAAAGCAAAATCGCATCACTAAGCACTCTGAACTTCTTCGTTCATTGTTCTCCAAAATGTGTATCTACAGCTACACTACACTATGAAACAAGTGAGATTGATCGACGCTTTCTACCTATTTTGTCTGCTTTAATTTACCAATAAAATGGTTTTCTTTCTTAGGTTAATATATCCAGGTCAAGTTTAATTTGCAGGTAGATATCCTTTCTATTAATTTTAATACTGTTCTATTGATTCGTAAGCTTTCCATTTAAAAACGGTCACAAATGATGATTTATGACTGAAGTAAATAGGTAGATACAGACATTTATATCTAAGTGGCGTTATAAAGGTTTGCTATTCGCAAGATTGGTTGCTAAGTGGTTATGTGTACCTACCTACGATTCCTACGACGGACAGCGTGATTTAATAATGAACGCTAAACTACGTAACCTAACTGTGAGAATTGGGTAGTTTCCTAGGTCAAAAATAAATTAATTCGACGTTTCAATACTATAAAATATTGAAATTTAACTATAATTTTATTCATCGATCGATAGTACACTATTTGAGATATTTATTAGCTATTTTTTAAGAAATAGGTAAGCAACTATTTGACGTTAAAAATCTACGACGTCATAACTCAGTATTTTTATTAAAAAAATGAACAAGATTTCGGTAAGAATAAAAACTTTTTGTAGGTAGGCAGCTAGCCAGGCAGTTAGAACCGAACGTGTTCCAGAATAATGTTATTAGCGTTTTATTGTCTGTTTCTACTCCAATGGAAGACAAGCGGTATGACACGTGTGTGTGCAGGTGTCGATTTAAAAATACTTATTAATGTAATTCAAACTAAAGCTTTGCGTAAGCCAAGTGGGACCTATAAACAGCGATAAAACTTGTTGTGGCCACCGGACAAATATAAAAACAACAAAGGTTACCCACTGGTCTAAAAACGGAAAATCACAATGGAAATGTTTTATTTATATCCTCCCTATCTATAGTCAACGACGCCGAACACTTTCATCTATCAATTGTTTACATTCTGGTCTCGATAAACTATTGCCCTGACCTTACATACGAGTACCTACTCGCACCACCCCCTAATAAAAACTAACAAGATAGGTACCTACCTACATACCTACATTAAATGATGAAATATAATCATTATTTGAAAAACCATACGTGATCGATAACGTACCCCGTCAATTAAAACCACAAACCAATGATACTGATAACTCAGTGTAGCGTTTATTTGAATTTAGAAGCGATTGACTATTGATGAATGAATTATGTGAATGAAATGACATTTAGGCTGAGTACAGATAATATATTAGATGTACCTACACTTTATCGTCAATAAAAATTGTCAAAACAATACGCATATAACTGCGCAGTGCAGATACATAAATTACGTAGTGAATCACTGTTATTGCGAAGATTACTGTCGAATAAGGTCAATGTAATTTTTGAATAAAATAATGACGTAGTCGCGGCATAAATATCTATAACAACGACTGTGTTATCCTACTGTTCTAAAAACAGAATCAGAATGGAAATATTTTATTTATAACTTCCATATCTAAAGTTAAACGACGCAAACACATTCATCTATGCGTATATCAGTATTGTTTACACTTTGGACAAGATAACTTGTTTGTGACCTTTCTAAATACTCACCCAAACCGGTCTGTACTTCGTCGGCGATCCAAAGGACGTTGTACTTGGTGCAAAGCTGTCTTACTTTCCTCAAGTAACCGTCGTCGGGGATCACGACACCAGCCTCACCTTGGATTGGCTCCACCATGAATGCAGCTACGTTAGGGTCTTGCAGTTCCTTCTACGGATTAAAAATAAAATTTATTTTTTAGTTTCTGCTGTTTCAACTGTCTTAGTCATTCAGTGGCTGATTAGGCCTGAGGAAAATTAATGCTGATATGGCAGGCGGAAGTATATATGCAGTTCATTATTTAAAAACACACCTGTTTTGTGTCTCCATAGTCTTACCTCTAGGGCATCGGTGTCGTTGTAAGGGATGAGTTGGAAGCCAGGCATGTAGGGACCGAATCCTTTGTAACAGCTGGGATCTGATGACGATGACACGGCAGACATCGTGCGGCCCCAAAAGTTGCCTTCAGCGAAGATGATCTAAAATACATTTACTTACATATATTTTTTGCAAAATAGCGAATCAAACCTATTCTTTTTTAGGGATAGGACATTTCTCTAAATCATCTAGACAAGAAAATTTTCCTAAAAAATCTGATAAATTCCGGACTCAACTAGTCGTGTAGATTGATAACCCGAGATAAAAATAATGAT